GTCAAAAATTTTAATCAACTATATGGATGGTTGATTTTCCTTAGCATTCCATCAACAGTATACAGTATTTTAAACCTTTTTGATGCATTAATAACTTTAGAAAAATATTTGCCCTTCAATCAAATTTGTTCATATAGCTCTTTCACATTAGTATATTTTGTAAGTTGCAGTAAAATGAGCGTACTTTACTTAGTATACACTGCAAATTTTACTTGAATCGCTTAAGAATTGTAGGAGATACGATTTTTTGGCCATTTAAATGTCCAGACTTGAGTCTATGTAAGTTCCACAAATATGGTTCGATTTGAGTGAAATTGTGTATGTATACTAAACTAAGTATGCTGATTTCAAAAATGTATTATTTTTGTTGGTATACCCTAGATTTTTCATAAAAAACGGGTTTTTAAATGAAAAAACTCGATTTTGGTGAAATTTGTTGGGTGCTTTTAACGCGACTTTTTTTATTTTCTAGACATCATCTGTTCTTATTATATTAACGTGTGATTCTATAGAGCAATCCGGTAAAAAGACGAAACAACTGTTTGGTAGTATAAAACGTTTGTGCATCAAAAATGAAGAAATTGATTTGAGAATTTACAGAATAAATAATGGTTTAAAAAAGTTTGAACCGAAAGTTTCAGCGGCTGGTTTTTATTTTGTTAATAGGAGCACTTTAGTTAATATGTTTTCATCTTTAACATATTACATGATAATTGTATTACAGTTTAATAACTCAATCGATTTTATGAAGGATCCTGTTTATTAAAAAAAATATTTCATTTTCTATTAAAAAACAGTATATTTGATATCATTTATTTAGTAGTGCACATTAAAGTTATTTATTAAAAGCCAACCATTTTCATGAAATACCCCAAAGTATATGATTATAATCACCTATAGGTGGTTTAAAGATAAATACAAACTAATATAAATTTAAATTTCAATATATTTGTAAAATTCTCATATTCTCGAGTCTAGACACTAAAACATCCAACATTAAATGTTCTACAATTTTAAAGCGATTTTAATGATTTTTTACAGTTTCACGTTGTTTTAATCATAATTAAACATGCATGTTTAGCCATGGCTTATGGACACTTCCCACCTTATTATAATAATGCAATTGACAGAAATAACATATATAAAAAATATAATAGCTCTTAAGTTGATTATTTACATTAAAACATTTTTTATGTTTTACTACAACTATTATTTATATCTACGTAGTAAAACATCATGACGAAAAACGATGTTTTGTTTCTCAATTTTTATAGTAATTTTGGTAAATTATTTGGGCTAACGCCTTTAACCCGAAAAAATAACGGTTTCAATAAGTGGTATGTCGCATTTTTTATCTTAATGTACTTGACATGTTTTTGTGTCTCACTTTATGGAAGAAATATTACAGTTTATAAAGAGATTACTACCAAACGCAAATATATGGATGCCATTCAGACCATGAATGAGTGTATTTTTTTTGTTGTTACAATTTTAAGTTTTTCATTCAACTCTAATAGTTGGAAACTCATCTTGACAATTTTTAATGACTTAGATAGGGAGTTATCAAGAAAAATTTCCCATAATACATCATGGTTTAAACTTATTGTACCAGCAGTCGTATTGTTTATTGCGTATATTCTATTTAATACCTTAGAACATGTTTATACATTCAGTGACTTCATGGTTTATTATTATATTTCTGTTTTAACAAATCTTTGTTACAACTATACAACCGTATTAATATGTAATACAGCCTACATTATCCACAGAAGAATCATCATACTAAACGAAACATGGGAAAAATTAATCCTAAAAAACTATTTTAGCAATAAAAACATAGAAAACCTAAAGAACACTTTAAAGTTATTTGAATTATGCGATAAAGCAGTCGAAAATTTTAATCAACTATACGGATGGTCGATTTTCCTTAACATACCAGCGGCAGCATACACTATGTTAAACCTATTTGATGTCGTAATTACTTATAGAAAATATGTCGATTTTCATAAACTTTGTATATTTTCCGGTTTTACAATAATATATATGGTAAGTTGTGGTAAAATAAGCGTACTTTGTTTAGTATACCCTAAAAATTTAATTTGAATCGCTTAAGAATTGTAGAAGATACGATTTTTCGGCCACTTAAATGTCCAGACTTGAGTCTAAGCAAGTTCCGCAGATACGGAGAGATTTGACCAAATTTTTATGTATACTAAAGTGAGTATGTTGATTACAGAAATGTTGGATTTTTCATTTCTAGTGTGCTTTTTAACGTGACTTTTCTATATTCTAGACATCATCGGTCCTTATTATATTAGCTTGTGATTCCATAGAGCAATCCGGTAAAAAGACAAAACAACTGGTTGGAAGTATAAAACGTTTGTGCATCAAAAATGAAATGATTGATTGGAAAATTTACAAAATTAATAATGCTTTAAAAAAGTTTGAACCGAAAGTCTCAGCGGCTGGTTTTTATTCTGTTAATAGGAGCACTTTAGTTAATATGTTTTCATCGTTAACAACGTACATGATAATTGTTTTGCAATTTAATAATCTAGTTGATTAAATGAATATATTAATAAAAAACAATATATTTATGATGTCATTTATTTAGTAGTACACAATAAAATTATTTATTACAAGCCAACCATTTTGACGACATTCCCCAAAAGGGGTACCTTTTTTAAAATGTTCGAAAAAAGCCCGCTAACGATTTTCACTAATTTTGTTGGCGAACCTTGTAGATAGAGAAATTTTGACATTTCGTGTAGCATTTTTTCAAATTTGCCAATTACACCCACACCTCTTTCCATATATGATCTACCACTACCACCACCTGGTGGTCCACCTGCCTTTTTGCCTTAAAAAAAATTATTTGTGATTATTTGTTCAGAAAATAGTTGAAACTTATTTTTAAAGACTGAATTATTCTGAAAGCTGAAATTTATTTTTTTGTTTAAATACAATTAAATAAAGTAATCGTAAGATTTTTTTATTTAAATTTTAAAAAATATTTACCAGAGAAACTCTTAAAAAAAAGTTCCTACTGTTTATATTTCCATTATTTTTATTGCAACAAAATAAAAAAAAGTTTATAAAAAATTAAAATTTAAAAAAGATCTGTGCCCCGTTTGTGTAAATATAATATATTATATTTTATACAAAAAAATAAATATTTGCCTTAAAATTTTTTTTTTATTTGTGATTATTTGTTCAGAAAAATTAAGGATTTTTTGGGGTAGTTGAAACTTATTTTTAAAGACTGAATTATTCTGAAAGCTGACATTTAATTTTTTGTTTAAATACAATTAAATAAAGTACTGGTAATATTTTTTTATTTAAATTTGAACTAAAAATTGACCAAAAAAACTTTTCAAAAAAGTACTGTTCATATTTCCAATATATTTTTTTATTGTAAAAAAAAACAAAGAAAACGTTTTTCAAAAATCGTCAAAATTAGAAAAATTTAAAAAAGATCTGTGCCCCATTTTTGTAAATATAATATATTGTATTTTATACAAAAAATAAATATTTGCCTTAAAAAAGTTATTTGTGATTGGGTAGAAAAATTAAGGATTTTTTTTGAGGTAGTTGAAACTTATTTTTAAAGACTGAATTATTCTGAAAGCTGAAATCTATTTTTTTTGTTTAAATACAATTAAATAAAGTAATTGTAATTTTTTTAATTCAAGTTTGAAATAAAAATTTACCAGAAAAACTTATACTGATATTTCCAATTTATTTTTTTATTGCAAAAAAATGAAGAAGCATGCTAGCAGTTTTTAATAATTCCAAAAATTTAAAAAAAGATCTATGCCCCATTTGTGTAAATATATATTATATAAAAATAAACATTTACCTTTAGCTAGGGTCAATGCTAGTACCATGGACAGCAGAAAGAACAAAATACAAAAATGTCTCATTTTGACTTTTAAATAATGTTTTCCTTTAATGTTTGCCTTATATATACTTTTGGATCATCAATAAAAATTATTTGTGATTGGGTATTTGTTCAGAAAAATTAAGGATTTTTTTGAGGTAGTTGAAACTTATTTTTAAAGACTGAATTATTCTGAAAGCTGAAATCTATTTTTTTTGTTTTAATACAATTGAATAAAGTAATTGTAATTTTTTTAATTCAAGTTTGAAATAAAAATTTACCAGAAAAACTTATACTGATATTTCCAATTTATTTTTTTATTTCAAAAAAATGAAGAAGCATGCTAGCAGTTTTTAATAATTCGAAAAATTTAAAAAAAGATCTATGCCCCATTTGTGTAAATATATATTATATAAAAATAAACATTTACCTTTAGCTAGGGCCAATGCAAGTACCATGGACAGCAGAAAGAACAAAATACAAAAATGTCTCATTTTGACTTTTAAATAATGTTTTCCTTTAATGTTTGCCTTATATATACTTTTGGATCATCAATAAAAATTATTCGTGATTGGGTATTTGTTCAGAAAAATTAAGGATTTTTTTGAGGTAGTTGAAACCTATTTTTAAAGACTGAATTATTCTGAAAGCTGAAATCTATTTTTTTTGTTTTAATACAATTAAATAAAGTAATTGTAATTTTTTTAATTCAAGTTTGAAATAAAAATTTACCAGAAAAACTTATACTGATATTTCCAATTTATTTTTTTATTGCAAAAAATGAAGAAAAAGTTTTTAATAATTCGAAAAATATAAATTTAAAAAAATATATACCTATTATACAAAATATATTTTATACAAAAAAATAAATATTTACCTTTAGCTAGGGCCAATGCAAGTACCATGGACAGAAGAAAGAACAAAATACAAAAATGTCTCATTTTGACTTTTAAATAATGTTTTCCTTTAATGTTTGCCTTATATGTACTTTTGGATCATCAATAAAAAACTATATTCCGATTATATTTTCCTTTAATTGCTCGTTATTCTAACAAATCATTAAAACAACAAACTATTATCGTAATTAATTTTTAAGGGTGGACTCTTTAACGAAAGAAAAAACAATTAATGAATAATCAACGTTATTTATTTATGCAAAATATACATTATGTCATTAATTTCAACCATAACCTTTTTAATAGACCCTCAATGATATTTACTGATGAACGGATTCTTCATGGTTATTGTGCCCATGGTGTTTCCCATGGTGATGCTTTATCTCATGGTGCTCATTATGGGCCTGCGCGTGTTTAGCTTCGTGGTGCTCATGTTTTCCCTCGTGATGAGCGTGTTTCGCGTGAGCGTGCTCGTGATGAGCCGCCTTCTCGTGATGAGCCGCCTTCTCGTGATGAGCCGCCTTCTCGTGATGAGCCGCCTTCTCGTGATGAGCGGATTTTTCGTCATGAGCCACATCTGGAATGTTAAGATTTTAAACCTTGTTTTATTCAGGTTGTCTCAAAAACATGACGTTTTCGGGACAACCTGTATTGTTCTTGTAAACATACGGTGTTTATTTTGATGGTGATGATGATCGCGACCAAATCCCCACGAAATACCTCCGCCTGTAGATCCACCTGGAAATAATTTGGTTGTATAAAAGGCACAAAAATTAATTAAAATGTCCAAAATGGCATCGGAACAGTTACTGCCCTTTTATAACCGTTTAAATGAACCAAAAACATTGAGTAAAGGAACTATTAATCAATGCCCAAATTTTAAACACTTAAGACAATCTAAAATATTCTACAACCCTTTAAAACTGTCCGAAATGTCTTAAATCAAGGAAAGTGTCAATAAAAATTGAAAGATAGATTGTTCTACAAGTAAAGTGAGAGTTTTCCAGTGAGTGAAACCAATTTTCATGAGCTGGAAAACAATGTTTCATTAAACGATTTTTACAAAAGTACAAATGGAATTTCATTCCAAAATATATCTAATTGTATATTTAATATTTATGAGCATAAAAATTGTGAATAATTTTTTTCGTTAAATGTTAGATTTGTGTGTATAGTTGTGTTGCTAACGAGTCAAATGTTGCTAACTATTAAAGTGTTGCTAATTAGCAAAATAAAATATTTCTTTATTAAATTCTACCTAATCAAATAGCTGTTTTTCATTAAGGTTACAAAAAAGTTATTGAAGACGTCAGCAGTACTTAAAGTAAAGCAGTATAGTTTTTGAACAACCTGTCCATAATTTTAGTGATAAATACAGTAAAAAGGCCGAACAGTGTTACCTCCAATACTTCCTGATCCAGATCCACCAATGGATCCAGATCCTGATCCACCACCGGAAATGGTTACCCCACCGGATCCTGATCCAGATCCTGATCCACCACCCGAAATAGACACCCCACCAGATCCGGATCCAGATCCTCCACCGGATCCAGATCCTGACCCACCACCCGAAACGGTTACTCCACCAGATCCTGATCCACTACCGGATCCTGATTCAGAACCAGAACCTGATTCAGAACCAGAACCCGACTCAGTCACACCACCAGATCCAGTTACAGAACCAGAACCTGCACCAATAACTGAGAAATTGTAGGTTAGTAAGTTTTGAGCAAAAAAAGCAGTTTTTTGAAGTTAAACATATATTGGAAATATTTCCCAACGCCAAAACAAAACACTAAGTGCTTCTGAAGATCCCAACAGCTTTAAGCGCTTTAAGCACTTTGTGTTTTGTTTTGGTGTTGGGAAATATTTCTAATATTTGTTTTTTTTGAAGTTATTTGTATGCCAAACTTTTGTCAACCAGTATTTGAGTTAGTTATGTTATTTCAAATGTGAAAGGTAAGTTTGAAAATAATTGTTAGGATTCAAGAGAAAGAAAAAAGAAGTATTGGTAAAAATCTAACCTCCCCCTCCAATGGAAATACCTCCTCCTTGACTTCCTGAAATTAATTTTTTTAAATAAATATTCAGTCATAAATTGCATATTGGTAAAATCTAACCTCCTCCTCCAACGGTAACACCTCCACTGCCATTACCACTTGACCCTGAACTTCCTCCTCCTCCAAATAGACCACCCAGACCACCCAACCATCCAGCTGCAAAAAAAGTTAGCTGTTTTACCTACGCCATCTATAACCAAAAATTTCTTACTTGTAATATTCAACCAACTTCCTATACCATCCTCAACGGTGCCGATGATGTTGCTTATGATTCCAGTCCAAATCTTTCCACCATTTTGAATGGTGTCGACCAGTGCGGTAGCATTAAGAAGTTTTTGTATGTCGAAGGAGCCACCGTACGCTGTTTGTATGCTCTGCAAAATGTCCCCCAAGATCGGAATTTTCGTTAAGCCACTTACGCCGCCAGATAAAATGCTGGTCAAGTTGAACTGCTTTTGCAGAGATTCTATGATGTTGGTACCGTTGATTCCGCCGAGATTGATGCCCGGGATCAATTTCTCCAAAATAGCCTTTCCGTATGTTCCGTTCAACAACTTTATTATCACTTGGAACAGAGCGTTTACGCCGCCATCGGAACCCGTCCATTGGCTGCCCAACTTCTGCAAGATTTGTATGATGATCTGCAAACTTCCTTGGAAGTTTCCTGACACAGCCAGCTTGAATATAGCCGATATATCCACATCCCCGATCTTCCAGCTACCGCTAACAATCTGCTGCAGGGTTCCCTGCAACTTTGTCCACCCTGATGACGCTCCTTTAGCGGCAATCTTCTGAACCACCTGTATCAAGGCTTGAATGGCTTTGTAGAAGTCCTGCACATCAGCAGCAATAGTCGTTACGGAGATTGACTGTATGCAAGCCGTGATCAAGGCGTCCAAAGAGCCCTTACCATTCACCAGAAGGCTTATCTGGAAGGCTATGTTGACTATACCGTCGACCCCAGTGGTTTTTCCCCCGCCTAGAAGCACGAGGATGTTCAAAAGGGTGCTCTGATCGCTCAAAACTTTGATAACCAGCTCGGTTACATCACTCTTCTCCTCTATCTGCAGCAGTATCTGCACCAATATCGCCACGCCGTTGGGTTGATTTAGAATGATCTCCACGTTGAATTTAACCCCCAACTCTTCTATCGTTTTGTTTGTTTCCCCGAATAAAACCGTAATGCCCGATTGTACTTTCGTCCACCACAGTAAGCCTCCGGAAATCTTGATGTTGAGATCGGAGCTGTAGAAGCCTTTCAGTTTGTTTGTGATTAGGTTTATGTTGGTTACGATGCAGTCGGTGATGAGTCTGTATGATACTTCTTCGGTGGCAAAGCCCAGTTGGACGTTGATGTCCAAGAACTCTTTCGAAACTTCTCCGGAAACGTCGACTTTAGTTCCAGATTGTTCAGCTGTCTTTAGGATCTCCTCTAGGGATTTGTACAGATCTACGACGGCTTCCGCGGACTTACCATCCCATGATGAAACAGTTATTTTGTAGAGTATGTTCTTGGACACGTCCAGAACAAAACCAACTTTACTATTGATATCAAACTCGAGAGTGATGTTGTTTTTAATGTCGAAAATAATTCCAACTTTGCCGTCGACATTAACCAAAGCGATTAAATTTGATGACTGTTTAAATATTAGGTTGATATTTAAGTTGCCTCCTGTAAAAAAACATTATGCAAAAATCTTGAACTATATTGATAAAAATGCGATGCATTTTTGAGCTATTTGTTTATCTTTGGGTTTTGCATACATTACATTAGAATTTCTAGTATTTTTTGCTTGTGACATTGAATTTATTTGTATGCTATGATAAAGAAATGAATATATAGTTTAATTAGAAAATTCCGGTACCTACATTTTTGAATTGTTCAAACAATTTTCCGCATATTTGGTTAATTTTTAAATTTTAGTAAGGTACTAAATATGTTATCTATTAAAATTAAATTAGTTGTTCTAAATTGAAAATACGTTATTTATTATAAAGGGTGTTTCAAAAATTACAATTTATTTTTCGAGACTATAGTAACAGAGTTGCAAATAATGCTTTAATTTTTTAATGCATTAAGGTTTCAATACTCATAATTAAAATAATGATTAATATGTTTCATTTTTATTAGGCATTACTTCATTTTAAATAAAAATTAAGTTCTCTCATTAATTTTTTTCCAACGTATTCTTTTTACATTACTCATTTTTAATTTTTAATGAAAAATGAATGATTATCGAATTACTTATTTTTAGTGGGCAGGAAGATATTTTTAATGCATTACACATTTTTTCAATTTTTGTTTTGAATTGTTTTTTTACCAGTAACACGTTTACAATTAATTATTCGTTCGAAGAATACTGTAACAGTTTTAAAATTAAAATTTTAAATGTGCTTTGGATAATTTTGGAACACGAAAATTTTAAGAAAAAACAAATTTTAATTCGGACCATTATTAAAGAAATTATCAGCAAAAAAACAAAAAACGCGATTCTTTTGAAAATTTTATATTTTTATCAAACTTTACCAGAAAGGGATTTATAATTGGTAGGTACCTACTTAAAAATATCGAAAAAAAGAAATCGAAAATCAGCATTTTTCAAACTGTCAGACTTGGTGTAAAATGCCCCATATAAAAAATCACCCCATCAACCCAAACCCCTGATAATTTTTTACTGATATAATGGGTTATGTCTTTCGTTTTACATTTTTTTAATGTGTACTGTACGGTCTCTCATTACTCATTTTTTATTTTTTAATGATTGTTTGACATTACTCATTAATTTTTTAATGTGTAATGAAAATATTTTTATTACAATTTTGTTTTAATGATTAATGTATTCAAACTACATTACTATTAACAAAAAATGACGATTGCATTATTTTTTACATTTTTGCAACTATGTATAGTAGATTATAGTAAAAGAGAACTTTTTTGTATTTATCACATAAATAAAGGGATAGACAAAAACTTTTAAAGGGTATTTCCACGAAACATTACCCCACATTGACAAAAAATCAGATGTGTTATTTTACAAAATAACAACTATATCTGATGTCAAATAGTTTAATTGCGACGTAATTTATACCCGTTACATTTTGAGAAAATTTTAGAAAATAAAGTACACAATATTTGTGCATTTAAAATGCGTGCTTATTTAAGGTTACTATTCAAGTTTTACACAAAAAATTTGTGCTTTCATCCAAAATTTTACAGTATCAACTTTAGAAGCCAACTTGGTCGCATTTGCCGATTTTCTAAGGTCGCGCCCGTTACACTATTCATGACGTTATAAAAGGTTTTCTATACAAATTTTTATTGACATTTTGTTTAAGTTAAATACCTAATTTTTTATACTATTTTTTTATATTAACGTATCTTAATATAATATATTATATGAACTAACACTTTATTTTCATGAAAAAACGCAGTTTTAGTGTCGCACCCGTTACAATGGAAATACCCTAAAGTAAAACGCTAAAATTAGTTAAATTGACAAAATTTGATTGCCTGACAAAAACTGCCATAAAATATATCTGTCAACCATGTCAAACCTCAGCTGCATTACTTGAAACGACCGTTTTTTTATGTAAAGGAAGCTTTTGGTTTTATTTATGGAACAGCCAGTAAATATTTTTGAAATTGCAATTTCTGGTGTAGAAAATGGAACCAAACGTCTTGGGAACCTAATTATTTAGCATTAGTGTAAAACTATGAAATAAAACATTTTCAATTTCTTGTAAATCAAAAAATTGTAGTCTGTAAAATCGACCCCATCTTTTTTGGCACCCAAAGCAAAACATTGTATAAATCTTACCGCCTCCACTGGATCCAGGACTAGATGTAGAACCTCCACTTCCTGGACTTTCTGATGTTTGACTTCCTGGATTTCCCGATGGGGTGCTTGCTTGTCCTCCTGGTGTACCTCCTCCTGGAGCTGAACTTGAAGAACCTCCGGAACCAGGACCTCCCGGGCCGCTTGCTGTGGAACTTTCGGAACCTGGACCTCCAGGGCCACTTTGTGTGGAACCTGGACCTCCAGGCCCACTTTGTGTGGAACTTTCGGAACCTGGACCTCCAGGGCCATTTGTTGAACCTCCGGAACCAGGGCCTCCTGGGCCGCTTGCTGTGGAACTTTCGGAACCTGGACCACCAGGGCCACTTTGTGTGGAACTTTCAGAACCTGGACCACCAGGGCCATTTGTTGAACTTTCGGAACCTGGACCTCCAGGGCCACTTTGTGTGGAACCTCCGGAACCAGGACCTCCTGGGCCACCTTGAGTGGAACTTTCGGAACCTGGACCTCCAGGGCCACTTTGTGTGGAACCTCCGGAACCAGGACCTCCTGGGCCACTTTGAGTGGAACTTTCGGAACCTGGACCTCCAGGGCCACTTTGTGTGGAACCTCCGGAACCTGGACCTCCAGGGCCGCTTTGTGTGGAACTTTCGGAACCTGGACCTCCAGGGCCACTTTGTGTGGAACCTCCGGAACCTGGAGCCTCACTCGTGGAACCTCCAGGTCCAGGACCTGACCCAGTGGTACTGTTACCTCCTGAGGTACCATCGCAAACCCATCGGCACGCTGCAGAAGGTGAATAATCCCTGCTATGGTGGGCTAAACCATGGTGTTTGTTATGGTGTTTGTTATGGTGCTTGTTTTGGTGTTTTTCTAAATGAATAAAATGCTTTTTTAAAATTATTTCATAAAGATATACTTTTATAACTACAGAGTTTAATTTAAATTAAATGGTTTCTTTACAACAAAATTTAAAAAAAAATACTAATTATAAATTATACTTACCATGATGGTGTTCTTCAACAGCATTTACGACCAAAAAGATGGTCACAACTAAAACTAATACTTTACTAGCCATTTTGTTGTCTAATAAAATTTCCCTGCCCCGGACAATCTTATATACGTTTTTTTGAACCTTTATTATTTGAAGAATTCCAAAAAAATATTTACCATGAAGTTAAAGGATTCTTGCCGATAGTACGGACATTTTAATGCTAAACAGGCGTGGAAAATTTTAAAAAAATATCAAAACATCTATTTATTCCCGGAATTCAGTAGTCATGTGCCCATGCAAAAAACATATTTTCGAAATAGTTTTTTGCTCGTGTAATCTGAAAAATTTATGTGTCTGCAAATGATTCATGCTATTTAAATTTCAAACGTTATGCAGCGTGAACACACTTAACTGTTTACTGGGTTGCATACCTACGTTCTTTATTTTTGACGCATGCGTCACATTTCGAATTTAACGGCTACGTAGAAACCTTTTCTGTGGTTATATTTCTGATTCTTATTATAATGGATCCGAGCTATGAATATGTTTTGCAAATTTTCGATGAATTTTCCGTCCACATAACAAACTTGCTTACAGAATTTAACAGTGGTTTGGAAGATTTGAAACAGTTTGCTGATGGTGACGAGTTGGAATCAAAAAGTAATTATTCTTTATAATTTGTGTTTTCTTGTGGTAATTTGGTGTTTTAGATGATTTAGATTTGAAGAAAGCAGCTGTATTAAAAGATATTTCGAATACACAAAATGAGCTTACAAAAAAGCTTGAAAGTAATGGTAATGATTTGTTGGTCAAAAAGAATGAACTTGTAAGTAAAAATGATTTATAACACCATGACTACGTTTTTTAAAGAATGAATTAGCAGGGGAATTAGCAAACGATGAAAAATATTTAATGGAACTAAATAACAAACTTGAAAAATTAAAATTAAAGCAGAAAAAAAAAGAGAAATCGATGGAGGAGTTATTGGAGTTAAAACTTAAAGTAAAAGTGTGTAAATTACTAACATGCACCAATTTTGAGTATGTGAAACCCCATGTTTCAGGTTGTATCCTTTTTATTTAAAGAAACAAATTTTTATTTATTTATTTTTATTACTTTTATACCAGTGTATGTTGTCAATTAAAATGTTAAATAAAATTGACTTTAAATTCTAAAAAAACATTTATTAATAAATGTTTTTTTAGAATTTAAATTAGAGTTTAAATTTTATACAATTGTATGGTATGCAAATTGCATAATTCGTTTTTATAAAATATTTTATCAAGAAAAAATATGAAATAAAAACCAAAAAAAAAAGAAATAAAAACTACCTTTTCTTATACAAATTATCTCTCTTGAATTGATTTCATGTTTTCCTACACCCTGTAGATAAAATCCCAAATTTTTTAGGTAATATTTTTTTAAACAATGTTAAATCAAAATATTCTTAATAAACAAATACAGATATGAAAGGTCAAAAGGCATGTAACTACAAAGCTTTTAACTTGGATTTACCAAAACTAGGTCAAGAAGAAGTTACCAAAAGACTTTATGATATGTTAAGTGATATAGTTAAAGAAGATTTAAAATAAAACATTTTAAGTTTTACTATTTATTAAGAAAATTTGTATGAATGTATTACGCTTAAACTAGAGGCTAAGGCAAAAGCTGCCAGAAATAATGTAATGAGTATTGTTACAACTATGATCCCTTGAAATAAAATGATATACATTACATAGATCATACCTAAAAATAAATATTTATTTTAAAATTGTGTTTTTTAATTTAAATTTTTGCATTACTTACCATAATTTGATACATAAGTACTAAAATGTACTAAAAATACTAAAGGCATTAATACAGATATTGTAATAAGGGGTAAAATCATAACACACAGTGTTATTATAAAAGCTAGAGCTGTATATGGACGCTCTATGGAAAATTGTACGATTTTGGTCCTGATTTTCTCCAAATTTAGCCTTACATTTTCTAAAAAAAACAATTAAGTAACAACTTACATTTTACCATAGAAATAATACTAGTATTATTTCTATGAATTTTACACTAGCAACTTTGTGTTTATGTTGGTAATATTTTGACAGATTGTAAATGTCAATATGACAACCCAACAAAATAAACACCATAATATTAATAAATTATTATACCTGGTAAAACTTCCATTTTGGATATTTTGTTGCATTTATTTAAACTTAACAGCAATTAATGTACAATTAAAAACCATTTACAATTGTTCAACTTTATCAATACTTTGACCTTTGGAATGTTCAAAATAAAAAATTGACCTTTCCACTCCCAATAAATAAAACATTTTGCTATTAATAAAAAATATATTTAATCATCTAATCAACTCATGTTATCCACAACATTACACATAATTCTGTCCAAAATGTAGCAAGGATCACTGTCACCTCTGGCGTTACCCTTATTTTCCTGTTTTATTATAAAATCATCCACCATTATTTTGGAATCTAACTCCATGGGCTCAGGTAAATTCTGTATTGCTTGTTGCAGAATATCCGAAACACGATCAAAGTGTTTTTGAAATCTGTTTGCAGTTTCTATTCTCTGCCGCTTCTGCAACTCCATCATAACTCGAAGGGTTTCCCTGGCTTGATGCGGACGAAATTCATTTAATAAGTGGTGTATGTGGATAAATAATAACCCCAAATCTTCCACCTTTTCTGCTCTGCGAGGTGAGTCAGGGCAGTTCACTAATAGGTCAAGTAAATCAAGAAAATTTGCTAGTAAACTTTGATTTAACTTCTTTAATTCGCGTCTGCGGTCAAAATGAAGTGGATACAATCTTTTAATGCCCTAAAATGAACTAAAATTTAGCACATAACCAAACTTGGTAAATATGTAAGTACCTGACTCTCCAAAGGTCTTATAATACTCTCCTCGGTATTAAAAGCATTCCCAAACATGTGATACGAGTCCTGTATAGGGGGGGGAGGTTTTGGGGCTCTACCTCTCCTAATTTGTTCATCGGTGTACAAATTGATATACTGCATAGGCGGTTGAGGCAAAGAACTCACTTGTATGACGTCTGAGGATGCCATTTTATCTTATTACTAGGTTTTAACTCTTAAATTATTAAAATGGGGCGAAATAAATAAGGATGTTTATGTTGATATTTTGACGTTAGTTGTAACGTAACTCTTCTTCTGCTCGTCTTTGTCAATGCTGCCAACTTTTGGATGTAGTATACGGGATTTATCCGAAAGTGTTGAATTGTAGGTATTTTAACTGAATAAAGTATGCATTTTTCACTATAAGGGATGTTTTTTTACATAAATTAAGTTACTAAATTGTTTTTTTGTTGATATTCTGACATTAGTGAGAAACACCTTCTTCTTCTTGAAGCTGCCAACTTAAGGGAGTTAAATGTGGAGAAAGTGGATGTACGGGGGTTTATCGGAAAGTTGCGTAATCTATTGTTTTTTAATGTCGGGTATTTAAAGTCATTAAAGTAGGTATCGTGACATATTTTCTTATGTAAATGATAATTATTGTATAATGCAGTAGGAAATGTTTGTTAGCTATTATAAATAATCGCTTTCTTCAATTAAAAATTACGTAATTTTTTAGGTAGTTAATTTATTTGGCATAATTTTATGTACATGTAGGTATAAAAAATAAATATTCATTTGTGCGTTTGTGTTAATTTCTATAAGAAATTAGCAAAACTAATACTGTTTATCACATACAGTTTTTCCCAGTGGTGAAAAATTGCAGTAATTTTAATTTGCATTTTTTGGTTCTGTTCTAATCTCGTTCATCATCTTCAACTCTCTATTCTCGAATCTGCTATCTTTGGTGGGTATTCTTAAATTAACCTCCTCACTTTCTTCAAAGTACGTCTTAACTGGAATACTCCTCTTTGGTGATTGAAGCTTAATGCAAACTAAAACTATTATAACTATGAGTGCAGCTACTCCAGCACCAACAATAATGCCTATTTGCAGGGGCGTTAGGACATTGAAGAGGATTTTTTGTTTCACCACAACCTCGCAGTCCAACCAATTCACCCAGGTGCCATTCCATTTGGCCGGATCCGCGTTGGGGTCCCTAGGCACGTTGATCATAGGTTTCAGGGTTTTTCTGTAGCGCAGCATGGTTTGCTCCATGTTGTAGACCACATTCGGCCTCGATACAGCTAGATTGACCATTTCGCATGGGTCCTCTACTATGTTGAAGAGACACGGCGATTTCATCGGATCGCAGACTTGCGATGGGTCTTGCTCGTGCAAATCAACGTTTTTACACTTAACCGTGGCTTCATCTCGCAGTTTAAGCACGGTTTTTTCGTCCAGTATATTAACGGAGAATTTGTTTTGATGATTAACACTCTTCTGTTTGATTTGTTGGTATGTCACCAACCCGGCAAGACTTGTAGCACTCTGCGATTGCAGTATGGAGTCCACCGCGTATTTATAGTCGCCATCTTTACCTGTAGAACCATACCACGCGTCTTTTTGACCCTCACTCGTGGACCCATACAAGTACTTAAAGTCGCCTTGTCGTACCGCCCCATAGCGATAAACGTCGTCGATATTATGCAGAAGTTCCGTCCTGGGATTCTTCTCGTCGCCCGAAATAACCCCCCACAAATCCAAACCATCCATAGCACCCAACTCCGATTTATTCAACCCGGCGGCCGAATAAAAGGTCGGCAACCAATCGGAGATGTGCATCAACTGATTGGACACTCGTTGCGGTTTTTTGATCAAGGGACTCCAAATGGCCGCTATGTTTCTCAGCGCGCCCTCCCACGGCGAATTTTTGACACCTCTCAGGGGATAATTCGAGCCGTGATTGGCGTGAATACCATCGGGATTGGCGCCGTTGTCGGACATGAACAGAACAATGGAATTCTCCAACATGCGTTTCTCCCTTAGTGCGTGCATAACACTCCCAACGCTTCTATCCAACATAGAAACCATAGCAGCGTAAATCCTCCTTTCAGGGTCCTCAATGTGGGCGAATTTAGCTATCTCCTCATCGGGAGCTTGCAAGGGGTCATCGTCGTTACCGGAATGAGGGGCTAGGTGCGCCAAATACATGAACATAGGGTTTTCCGTATTGTGGTCTTTGATAAGTTTGACAGCCTCATCGGTAAAGAGGGTCGTGGAGTATTTTCCCTGGGAATCCCAGTCCACCGTCATGTTTCTGCGCATGTCATAGCCGTGCTCACTGGTGTACTGCAAGAACAGAGATGGTGAGTTTTTGTAGTGGGAAGTGAAAGATAGAAGATGTAGGTGAAGATGAAATGAAAATATAGAAGATGAACTAGATAATGAAAGAGGAATGAAATATAGAAGAGGAAGAACATATAAAGAAGACTCACCGTTGCTTGTACGGTGTGTTTATAGTAGTCTTGAAGTCCTTGCCAGTAACCAAAGTGAGAGTCAAACCCTCTATACGTAGGAGTGTATTCTTTTTTGTGGAAACCTAAATGCCATTTTCCTATGGCGTGAGTGACGTAACCATTTCTTTTCAAGTGCTGTGGTAACACTGTTTCGTTTAACGGTAAACCCCATGGTTCTGGTTCCAGGATAACCAAATGTTGCATCCCTAAGTTTTAAACGTATTTTAGATTGGTGAAGAAAGTATAAATAATAGTTAAAAGTAAATGGAGCATTTAATAGAATTTATTCTTATACTAGTACATTCATAAGTATGTAGATTTAAATAAAACACAGGTGAAGGTTATATGAAACTTGTTCTCTTTTATTACTGTTCCTTTTTGCAGGGGTTTACAGCAATGATTCATTAAATTGACCACACTAATAAAAAATAAAAAGCGGTACAAAAAACTTACCTAAATGGATTGGGTATTTCCCAGTCAAGAATGCTGCTCTAGACGGAGTGCATAAGGCCTGAGTGTAATGGCTGTTTAAAATGACCCCATTATAAGCCAGAGCGTCGATGTTCGGCGTGGGGATTTCATTACTGCCGTGAAAACCAACATCATTATAGCCCTAGGTAAAAAAAGAAAAATTGATATACTGAAAAGTAAAAAATGACACGATTTTTTCGAATCTCTGTATCTTCCACAAAAACAATCCGATTGCAATAAAAATTTCATTGTATATTAAAAACAGTTTGATTATCAAAACGATACAAACAGATTTATTGTAAAATATTTTTTTCGGGCGTTTGGGAGGTTTGAATTTTAGTTGCAAAAATGGCGAATGCGCCGGGATTAATAAAGAATTTTTTCCAGGGGATTATTATTATTTAAAGATCGAAAGATCAAGATCAATGTGAACCACCACTCAAGGTTTTATTTATTTCGAGATTATTGATCGCAGGTGCTTTTTATTCGTAAAAGTAATCATTTTATATTGAGTAACAGTTGGGTAATAATATTTAAGTTATTTTTTGGCATTGTCTAAAATTTCTCGAGTTTGTATGATTTAGTAGAAAATTTAATAAATAATGTACAGGGTGTTTCAAAAAACATGAGCCAATCCTTGGCTGAAGATTTGTCATCCAAAAATAAGAAAAAAAGTTAATATAAACGTAGGTACCTAAATGTTAAGTTTTCAAGATATTAAATATTAAAAAAACACTTTTTTTTTTAAATATCTAAAATATCGTGTGCCGATTTTGTTAAAATTAGGCAACGTTATTTATACTGATAAGGAGCAAATTTTACAATATATTCAAATTGTCAAGTCCAGTGGCGTCCCAGGAGGCACCTTAACGAATATTAATGCCAAAAAATGTACGGCACTGACTTTTTTGCAATTTTTATATTTTTGTATGATACAACTTTTTTTGTCTACTACACAACAAATAAAAAGCATATTATTGCATGAAAATTGACAAAACGCATATTTTGCACCTTTTTCCAATTAAACAAAAACTCCCTCTTATTATAAATAACGTTGCCAAATTTCAACAAAATCGGGCAAACGATAGTTAAGATATTTAAAAAAGCCGGTTTTTTAATGTTTTAATCTTGAAAACTAAGCATTTTTGGACCTACCTTAATAAAATTTTTTTCCATTTGGGGCATGTTTGTATTATAATTAATAACTTTCAACTTTTCAATTTTTTTAATCATTTTAAATTGGATATTATATCATATAATTTATATGTAATATATTAAGGATTTTTTTGCAGTACCTACTTATAAAATTAATACATTTTTTGATCTTGAAAATTGCAAGGTTAATAATAGATTTAATAATAAATTATTGGATAGACAATATATTTAAATAAATAATAATAAATAGTATGTTATTGTAATGTCCACTATGTATTTTCGTAACCCGATTCTTTAAGTATACTGAAATACTTATTTTGGCATATTCGTGATCGTCTAGATAATTTACTTACTTTATAAAAATTAGGACTCTACGTTGTGTATTTACTTACATTGATAATAACGATATTTTGAAATTGGTCAGGTTTAATGAAACACAAGCATTTAATTTTTAAACCCCTGATTTAATTTAAGCAAAGACAAAGGGGTGGCCCGTTGAGTCAAAGAACAGGGAAAAGGGACCATAAAAACCCTGTCGACTTACACAGTTCAAATAAAAATAAAATACAAAACAAAACATAGTCATATGGGTCACAATCACAAGAATACAGTATAAATAATGAGTGAATAAAATAACATGAAAAGCAGATAAACATATTTCATATAGTTTGGGTGTTTTTATCAATATTCAAAACATTTTGTACTCAGGTAAAATAGTTATAATAGAGATCGTCATTTTATGACGAAGTGTTTGTTTATTTGATTACCTTACCACGCATCTTCGAACTATTGAACGAAGACACGATTTTATATAAATAAACTACAGCAACGACATATTTCTGATAGAGAGAATTCAAATGCCTTTAAAGGGGAGGGGAAACATGGAAAAATATAATCTAATGCAGATATTTAACCGTAGCCAATAACCACACTATGGAACAATAGCATCTCTGTGAAGTGATATAACGAAACCTAATGTCCTTATCTCACTATAGTATCCCTATATCACAATATGTTCAAATATTCTCACAAAATCAATGTCCAGCACAAGACAACAGTATTGTAAAAATATACAAACAATTCTGCACACAGAGTTTATATAGGTAATAACATAAAAACACTATTTTTCTTCTAAGGATAAATCCTTTTGAAATAATGCTAATATATTACCCATGTTCAAATATTCATGTATGAGCACTCTCCAAACGAAAATACAAGTACAAATACAGACACAAATAAAATAAACAATATGCAATAAAATAAAATGGTATAAAATATAAATAAAATACAATAAAATAATAAATAGGAGAGAGTCATAACAAGAAACACCTGAACATGGCCAAAACTCTAACCACCAGAAAGTATCGCGCTGAATAATAACATAAAGAGATTTTTATCATATATACCTAGTAACGTTAAAGCCATTATCAAATATTCCAATAAAGCGCTAAGATAAGCAGTTTAAATCAAAGTCTCCATCCAGAATCTATCAAAAGGTTAAACGATACTATTACCTTACCATGATATGACCTAATAGTAATATCAAATTTAATAATAATAATAATAATAATAATAATAATAATAATAATAATAACATTTTATAAACCTTACCCAAATAATACCAATATTATAATAATAATATTATTGTTAAAAGTTTTAGCCTGAGTACAAATGCAAAGAGTTAAAATAAATAAATACCTTAATACCGAGATTATACACTGAGTTTCAAAAACAATAAAATACATTTCAGTTAAATAAAAGTTATACAAAGTTATACAAAAGGAAACAGCAAAATCAAGGCCAGTGTAACTCAAAATAAAGACAATACAAAATATTAAAATTTAAGTTAAATGTAATTAATTCAGTGTATATGATGAACGCGACAACATAAAGATTAGAACTCAGTGTATGCGAGATACCAAGGTATTAAACCAAAATAATGAAATAGTGATACAATAAAAATTATTACCAAAAATCACTCGCTATTTACACATATTAAAATGATTAGGACCCAATAAACTAGCAATGATAAACGTCATAGACAAAAATGCGAATTAAATAATATTGTTCAAAATTATAAGGAAATTATAAGCAAAAAACGAGGAGTTGTTTATCATTACTAGCAAATTTACAATTTTTAAAAGAGTACATACCTAATTACGGCAGAAAATCGATAACAATCACTATAGTTATATTAAAATATATATCACAAACTTTTTAGTATGCGTATCGAATGAAAGACTACACCCTTCTGCCTCTCTCTTCCCTAAACCTATATTTTAAACATCTCGGCCACTTAAAGCAAGAATGTGTAATATAAACAGTCTCCCTAATATTCCTACGCTCAGATACAAAGAAGTGAAACTTTAAACGCAATAGATTTTAAACATAAAATATCTTAAAACTATAATATTATTTTTAGTGGATTATTTAAATTTTCCTTGGTTAAAATAGCGCCAAATTCGAATTTAAAAGTTTATATACTACAGGACCCTTACAGACGCCCCTTTGGAAGATTGGCAGACGGACTCTTGGAGGCTTGGCAAACTTTCAACATCCTTCGCGTCAAATTTGGCCGAACTCATCTGAACGTAGGGCTTGTTGTTGTTCTCAGTCAGGCATATCATACATAAAAAAGAAAACAAATAATATCAGGGTTTTATCGCAATAATAATATAAATAAATAATAAAAAAAAGTAACAATAAAATAAAATAGAAATACAGTAGGGACCTAGTCAAAATAAAATGGATAAATTAGTAAAATCAATAAAATGAAAAGAACCCACCTGGAAAACATTATTGTAATGTAAAAATGAAGAAATATGGCAGTCCGTATAACCACTCCATTTCCCTCCTGCTATTTATGACTTGGAATAACCATGTACGCCCCTTAGAATATTGTCCAGTCCATGTCTTGAGTCAGCTACACTTTTTTACTTCCTCAAATTTTAAAATCAGGTACCATCTCCATTCATCAAATGTAGTAAAGTTCATCCCTTCCAGTTCCGTGTCCCAAATGAAGTGGAGCTCATCGTATCCATGGATAGTGCACTCGTCAAATTTTTTGCATTAATTGGTTTATGGCAAAAACAAATCAAAACATGTAAAATGGTTCACAATAAAATAATAATAATAACAAGCAACCAACATTCTTTCACCAGACTTAAACAATTCACCAATTACTCCTAAATAACAAAACCTTTAATGAAGAAATAAAATTAGAAATAAACTTGGAAATACTGGCCAAAAAAAAATTGTTTAACCAAAATATAGGCTACCTTGTATTGGCCTGCTGTAATAGAAGACAAGTAATCGACCGTAAATAGCTGCTCTGAATATACCAAAAAACTGTTCCCAATACACTTCTGAAAAGTAAATTTGCACTTTTCAAAGTCTCTCAAGACACAACGAATAGCAGAACATAGTCTATGAAAATCTAGCTCATAAAAATTAAGCTATACAGTAAATAGTATTTACTAGGTGACACCAGAAAGGGAAATAATAAAAGGACGGGACCAAAAAAAACGTATTTTAAAGCCTGTAAAATAAAATTAGGTTCGTTTACCCCAAACACAACCCTTGCGTGACATCAATAGATGTTCCACTACGTTACAAAAGAAAATAGTTACATCAACAGATGTTTAACTAAAAAAAACACCAAAATAGTTACATCAAGGATGTTTAACTAATGTTTACAAAAGTAATTAAACAAAAACAACCGTCTTCAAAGAAGATTCAGCTGCGCCCCCTAGCACTACACTTGGCTGCGCCCCTTAGTACTTTGCTTAGCTGCCACCATAGACGTGATTCAGCTTCGGCCTTCTAGTACATTACTCCTTACAATGTTTCGAAGCTGGCTTTAAAAGAAAATTCATCAATAGTTGAAGAAATTTTTGAAACTAAAAGAAACAACACAAATAAAAATAAGCAGCTGGCTTCAAGGAAGATTCAACTACTAATACCAAATACTGACTTCAAAGAAGACTCAGCAGTACCAAAAGGTGATATCAACTTATTTAAGTTAAACACGTACAAAAAAAGAAAAAAAACTTATCCCACTGTGCATACACACAGAATATTTGAGCAAAAAAAAATAGTTTACCCACTATATAGAATTAAATAACAAACCCTTAAATACAAGAAATAAAGAAAAAAACTAAACAAAGTTAACATACAAAAAAAATATTTACCCCACTGTGCAAACAACACTTGGAAATGCAGAAGAAATATTTTACCTCACTGTGTAAAGGCCATAAATCCATCACCCAGACCAATTTCAAACCCCATTATCAATGTATCCTGGTCACCCGGCAACAAAATGTAATGTCCACTATGTATTTTCGTAACCCGATTCTTTAAGTATACTGAAATACTTATTTTGGCATATTCGTGATCGTCTAGATAATTTACTTACTTTATAAAAATTAGGACTCTACGTTGTGTATTTACTTACATTGATAATAACGATATTTTGAAATTGGTCAGGTTTAATGAAACACAAGCATTTAATTTTTAAACCCCTGATTTAATTTAAGCAAAGACAAAGGGGTGGCCCGTTGAGTCAAAGAACAGGGAAAAGGGACCATAAAAACCCTGTCGACTTACACAGTTCAAATAAAAATAAAATACAAAACAAAACATAGTCATATGGGTCACAATCACAAGAATACAGTATAAATAATGAGTGAATAAAATAACATGAAAAGCAGATAAACATATTTCATATAGTTTGGGTGTTTTTATCAATATTCAAAACATTTTGTACTCAGGTAAAATAGTTATAATAGAGATCGTCATTTTATGACGAAGTGTTTGTTTATTTGATTACCTTACCACGCATCTTCGAACTATTGAACGAAGACACGATTTTATATAAATAAACTACAGCAACGACATATTTCTGATAGAGAGAATTCAAATGCCTTTAAAGGGGAGGGGAAACATGGAAAAATATAATCTAATGCAGATATTTAACCGTAGCCAATAACCACACTATGGAACAATAGCATCTCTGTGAAGTGATATAACGAAACCTAATGTCCTTATCTCACTATAGTATCCCTATATCACAATATGTTCAAATATTCTCACAAAATCAATGTCCAGCACAAGACAACAGTATTGTAAAAATATACAAACAATTCTGCACACAGAGTTTATATAGGTAATAACATAAAAACACTATTTTTCTTCTAAGGATAAATCCTTTTGAAATAATGCTAATATATTACCCATGTTCAAATATTCATGTATGAGCACTCTCCAAACGAAAATACAAGTACAAATACAGACACAAATAAAATAAACAATATGCAATAAAATAAAATGGTATAAAATATAAATAAAATACAATAAAATAATAAATAGGAGAGAGTCATAACAAGAAACACCTGAACATGGCCAAAACTCTAACCACCAGAAAGTATCGCGCTGAATAATAACATAAAGAGATTTTTATCATATATACCTAGTAACGTTAAAGCCATTATCAAATATTCCAATAAAGCGCTAAGATAAGCAGTTTAAATCAAAGTCTCCATCCAGAATCTATCAAAAGGTTAAACGATACTATTACCTTACCATGATATGACCTAATAGTAATATCAAATTTAATAATAATAATAATAATAATAATAATAATAATAATAATAATAACATTTTATAAACCTTACCCAAATAATACCAATATTATAATAATAATATTATTGTTAAAAGTTTTAGCCTGAGTACAAATGCAAAGAGTTAAAATAAATAAATACCTTAATACCGAGATTATACACTGAGTTTCAAAAACAATAAAATACATTTCAGTTAAATAAAAGTTATACAAAGTTATACAAAAGGAAACAGCAAAATCAAGGCCAGTGTAACTCAAAATAAAGACAATACAAAATATTAAAATTTAAGTTAAATGTAATTAATTCAGTGTATATGATGAACGCGACAACATAAAGATTAGAACTCAGTGTATGCGAGATACCAAGGTATTAAACCAAAATAATGAAATAGTGATACAATAAAAATTATTACCAAAAATCACTCGCTATTTACACATATTAAAATGATTAGGACCCAATAAACTAGCAATGATAAACGTCATAGACAAAAATGCGAATTAAATAATATTGTTCAAAATTATAAGGAAATTATAAGCAAAAAACGAGGAGTTGTTTATCATTACTAGCAAATTTACAATTTTTAAAAGAGTACATACCTAATTACGGCAGAAAATCGATAACAATCACTATAGTTATATTAAAATATATATCACAAACTTTTTAGTATGCGTATCGAATGAAAGACTACACCCTTCTGCCTCTCTCTTCCCTAAACCTATATTTTAAACATCTCGGCCACTTAAAGCAAGAATGTGTAATATAAACAGTCTCCCTAATATTCCTACGCTCAGATACAAAGAAGTGAAACTTTAAACGCAATAGATTTTAAACATAAAATATCTTAAAACTATAATATTATTTTTAGTGGATTATTTAAATTTTCCTTGGTTAAAATAGCGCCAAATTCGAATTTAAAAGTTTATATACTACAGGACCCTTACATTATGTAATTGAATTAAATTATCTACTTGCTAATTTTTTGCATGTAATGTAATAAATATTCAATTAAAATTAACAATTAAAAAAAATAATTAAAAAAACTTACCATATCATCAGCTACGATCACTATAATATTTGGCTTCTTATTTTCAGTCAAAACACAGGAAAACAACAAACACAAACTAAAAATGTCGAGGAACCACATTTTGGAAAAACCTTTTAAAACCCTTAATGAAATAATTGTGTGCCCTTTAAAACAATGGGGTAGTTAAATTTTTTCCGACCTATACTTTTTATGATTTTATTCAAGGCGTTTTGTAATTTTAAACATCTTTGTGAAATCGGAATTTCAATTAAGTTTACCGTTTTCGAGATATTTACAAAAAAAAGTCTCCTAATTACGTCACTAGGCTATTGACAACGTTGCCAGCTTTTTCTATGGTGTTTAGTTTAAGATTCTTACGATAGATGGCGCCACGTTATAATATTTTAGTTTTAAAACTACTTGATCTAAAATTTTAGTTGAGAAGAAGAAGAATTGATTTTTTGACGTTTCTTTTTTTCGGGTTATGTTTTTTTTAAATTTAGATTATTGAAAATCAATGCTATTGTTATGTTATTTGTAATTGATATTAGATAAGTGATTTATTAATAACCGACTCCAAAGCAGAGGAATCTTGTGGAATGGTTGGTTACTTACATTGAACATTGGAGCTTTTAAACAAATAAAGTAAATACCTATAATTATAATCATATTTTGTCATAAATGCATTTCATTAGTATAATGCCTAGTTCTTTATATTCTTTTAGATATATCTTGGACTCTAAAATATCAAACAGTAATATGATACCTCGTAATAAGGAAGATAGGTACTTAATGAATTTGGTGACCATCTTTCACTCAACTGACAGTGACAGTATTTGTACATAACCTCTTCGGGTATTTTCTGACATAACCGAATGAAATCATTAACAAGACAACTTGACAACAGGGTAATTTTCAACCAATAGAAATCTTAGAATGTTGGTCACATGGCGAGGTTTGTGACGTCATAAAAATGTATATTTTTTGTAAATATCTCGAAAACGGTAAACTCAATTGAAATTCTGATTTCACAGAAATGTTTAATATTACAAAACGCCTTGAATAAAACCATAAAAAGTATAGGTCAGAAAAAATTTAACTACCCCATTGACACTGTGACCGTCATCAGCAAAGGCAATATCGATTTTGACCGCCAATCTAGCGGAAAAAAGATTTTATAGAAATTTTCAGGTGGGGTAACTAAAAGACAATCACTTGTTTTCTACGTCATTGGAGTTACCGGCGCGCTGTGACGTCACCCGGCGGACTCGATTCTTCGGCAAGGGGGATCCCTCAACTATTACATTATTTTTTTAGTTTTATGTATATACAGGGTGCCCCAAAATCATTATTTCGTAAACTAGTTATAAAAAGTTAATGAACATTTTATTTTTAAATGAACAATAAGGTGCAATCTCCAAAGTGGCGTAACCCATTTTGATTGAAGAATGTTATTTAAAATGTTAAGTTTAATATTAATACTACTAAATTATTTCAAGATGATTTTTTATTGCAAATAAAATCTTAACTGACAGTTGAACTTTTTATAAATTTAAATAATTTTTGTTAATATTAAATTTTTAGAAAATTTAAATTTGGCAACATAGACCTCGTAATAATAGCTCAAGGCATATTAAAACTATGGTTTCGCGAAAGACATCGAACAAATTTTGGACATTTGTTTGCAAGTGATGCCAGAATTGAACCTTCTACATCTAAATGGTGCATTTTTTCAAAAAAAAATATCATCCATTGACCGCTGTGGTTTTCAGGCCTACTGTGTTAAAAATAGATAAATTTCGATATTTTGTAATAACATTTTTATTTAAAAATGTATCGATTTGAAATTAAGTTAAAATGTAGGCCTTATTAATGGCAATAAATCCACGTATTTTTTTTAGATTTTAACATACAGGGGACACGGGGGACAATTTAATTTAAATTTTTATCATTTTAAGGGTTAAAAATCAAAGAAGCAACGTTGTTTTATAATTTTGATTATATCACGTTAAAGTACTGATAATTAACTATTATTTGATATATAAACTTTTACATGCAAATTATGTTTCTACGAGAGACATCATTTTTAAATTCTTACATACATACTTACATACTAAAAATCGCCATGGATGGAGCTAAAATTACTTTTATTTATAAATTAAATTTTTTTCAAGTTTACTAATTTTGATTAAAGTAGGCATGAGAATTTTCTCTATGGTAACCTACCATTGGAAGCATGAAAGATAAGTTGACAGATTGCGTTTCAATGTATAAGTTTACTAAAAACTCTTTATTTATTAAAATGAATAAACTAAATAATAATTATACTGCCGTGCTTAATGAAAACGCCGTAACCAACAATTTTGTTTTACGGCATTTTCTACTAGAACAATTCATCCTGTGTCTATCCCCGGTACTCAAAAAACCGTATATATATAGATACGGTTTTTTGAGTACCGGGGATAGACGCAGGATGAATTGTTCTAGTAGAAAATGCCGTAAAACAAAAATCGCAAAATTGTTGGTTACGGCGTTTTCATTAAGCACGGCAGTATAGACAGTGTCAAATTTTTGATAAAAATTGTAGTCCTTATTTATAAATAGGGGATATAGTATTTTCTATTTAAGTTCTTTAAACAAATAGCAAGTTAGAAATAATTATTATAACCTACTTTAATTTTATTTTAAAAGATACAACAATATTTGCATAAAATTTACTAAATGTACTAAACTAAACATTTATGAATGATGCTACTGCTTATTCAAAACTGATCCTGGCCACAGAAACATCATTTGCATAAAAAAGTTAATATATCAAATAATAGTCAAATACAATTTATAATGCTTCTTCGATTATTTACCCTTTAAAAATTGTTAAATTTTAAATTAAATTATCACCAGTATGTTTAAATCTAAACAAAATTTTTTCATGGATTAATTGTCATTAGTAAGATCTACAAGTGAATTTTTTTCATTTTTAACACATTGAAGAAAAAAACAAAGTTGTCAATGGGCGAGATTTTTTTTTAAAATACTGCATTTAAATGTAGAAATAAGCTAAAAAGTCTTAATCGATTTCTTGAACCCTTGCAAATCGACCGTTCAATCCTTTCGAGAAACCGTAGTTAAGACAATTTGATAAAATTTATGTCATTAAAAAAATGTAATTTTTTTGTAATTGAAAACCAAGTCTAAATGCAAAAATAACGACGCAAATTTTTCTCATACAAATGTTCAAAAACTTTAAAATACATCTATTTTATGATTTCCAAATTTTTGAACAAACTGTAGAGAGAATCCCATTTTTTTATGGGCAGTTATTTTTTATCATGCTTTATTTTTAAGCTTAACGAAATAATAATAATAATAATAATAATAAACATCTTTATTGGTTTCCCAACAGGCTATCTTTCTGCCCACTTAACGAAATATTAGACTAAATTTTAAATATTTGTTTTAAGATTGTATTGTGTATTTGTGTGTTTATAATTTAAATAAATCTACCAACAAAAAAAACTGTACCAAAAAATGCTTATTATGAGTTTTTGTAATCAGCGGTGCTCTCAAAGAGCTTGGCGATATAAAAACGATCATTTCCCATTATAAAAAATAAATACATTGAATAATAAATACTATGCACAATCCCATTAATACCTACTCGGAAATAAACAAAAATATTAAATTTCTAACTTGGGGTTTCCCTTAAATTAAAATTTCCACAAAACACTTTTACTTCAGAATCCAAATTAACCAAATCTAAATCATTATAATGTTTTAATTCTTTGAAATCTACATATAGTTTTAGCTACTTTTTTATTTAAATTATTAATTTATTCTATACCTGCTTTAAGTAAAAATGATACGTCGAACATAGAAGATAGAAATAATTAATCTTCAAATGTGAAAATGTATAAAAATCACATAATTTATATGAAACCCTGACGTTCCTACATATATGTTATAACAAACTGTATCAGGATCTAAATAGCAAATAATTATTAATATTCCTTTTTACATGGTTCACTTCGTCCAGCTATTGTGTTCTTGAACAACATTGTGACCTTCAAATATTCTTATTTACAACTATGCAAAAGTATAATGTAACTACGATTTGAACTAGGAAAAAAATCATGACTTTTACTAACCTATTAGCTTGTTCTGGTGTAGATGAAGGCATGTGTTATTTTGAGTATGGAATTTTTTTCCAGTTGTCCGCAGGTTGTGGTTTCTTAAAAATTAAATTTATTATGTTTTTGTCCTAAATACATATTTTGTTATATTATACTAGAGGAAATTAATGAATCACCTTATTAAAAAATAATAATTTTTTTGGTGAGTTATTCGGTACCTGAAACCCCAATTTGTTTTTGGTGGTTTGACACAAATGGAATTCCCTCAAATAAAATAAAAGTTGTTTTTTATTCAGTTTTTTAACAATTACAAGTGTACTTTCACTACACGGAAAAAAAAAATTAGCGGCAAGAAACAATATTTTAGCATAAAAAGAAGAAAAAAGTTCTTAGTGGAAGAAGTATAGTTCTTTTGAAATCAAATACAAAATCTCATGAATGTTTCTTCTTTCAACCAAGTGCAAAGTGATTTGTTCAAAAGCTATGAAAATTATTCATATTTACGCAATTCATTCAAGATACATCACAATTATCCCAATAGCATGTCAATTTTCTAACAAAATCTGGTAGCTTCTGATACATGGGAGGGAATGCAAAATTATAATTATATTTCTAATATACATTTTGCCGATTGTGTAGTGTTGTGGTGTGTTATATGTACTTTCACGATGGAGTTGGAATCATTAAAACTCTTTTTAAATAAATGAAATTTAATTAATTTCTTTAAAGTTTTTGAAGGTAAGGTATCAATTAAAATATGTAATACAAATTTTATGTTAAATCATATTTATGTTAGTTTATTGCTGTTAAATTTTTTTTTGTAAATCTTTTTTTCAGTCAATCTTCTAGAATTTTGTGTTAAAATTAGTTGACTCCATTTAAAAGGAAAAAAATTTGGGTTTATATGCTCCATTTTTGAATTACCCTGTATATTAAATAACACGTAATTATTTGGTACTAAATGTGTCATTAAAATGAATTTTTTATACTTAAATCAAAAATAAATTTATTTTAAATTATGATAATTAAAAA